AAAATATTGCACATCTTTGTTTTTTTTTTAAACCTTTCAATCCATGATTGTCAAAACCTTCATAGAATCTATCATAAGTCTATCATTTAAAATAATATATCAAAAGAAGTCAACTTAAGTAGTGTGAAATATACACTTTTCTATCTTAGTATAAGATCTAGCATCTTTTAATTTTTTTAAGACATGATGAATATAAAATTTATATTTTTTAGTATTTTTAGAATAAATTAAAATGTTGTCTAAGTAACAAGTGAAAAAATCATCAAAAAACTCACAAAAGACATTATTCATTAGATGTTGAATTTGTAAGTCCAAAAGGCATGACATTATATTCAAATTATCTATATCTAATTTAAAATAAAGTTTTCTATTCATTTTCTTCTTCAATGCATAACAAGTTGTATATTCCTCATAAATCTATTTTATTGTAGATCTTTGCTTGATTGAGTATATCAAAAAGTCTTGAAATCAAATGTAAGGGGTATCTATTTTTGATGATAATCTTGTTAAGTCCTTGATAGTCCATACACATCTGCAATAATTTGTATTTTTTCTTCACAAATACAATAAGAATCTTTGCTTGAGATTAAGAGTAGTATATGAAATTTTTAGCAAAGTTCTTGTCAATATACTCTTTAACTACAATCAATTCATTTTGTGATAGGCTATCGATTGGTCCAAATGGTAGTTGAATTCTTTCTTGAAGATCAATAGAACAATCATGTGGACAATACTATCAAAGATAACATATATTTTTTAATCAAAAAAAACTTGATAATTATTATATTAGCTTAAAATATCAATTGAAATATTTTTTTATCAAAAATAAGTGTTGTATATATAAAAAAAAAATTAATACTTCTTTTGGACAATGCAAAAAATCTCTTATATCTATCAATAAAAATTTGAACATATTAACTTTATGGATTTCTATTTAACTAGCAAAATCATGGGATAAACTATGAAAAATCAAGGTTATAGGGAATCCAATCTATCTGACACTTATACTTTTTTAGCCATACTTATTCTAAAATAATTAAATTAAAAAGAAATTTAATTAAATTCTATATTTTTAAGCTATTATGACCATTAATTTCTATATCTAAAGGATTAATTTTATGGGTGATATCTCCAAAAGAAAAAAAATGACCATTTGTTACCTTTAAATATATAAGTTTGATTTTTTTCACCAAAGATATTTCTTATTTTTTGACAAATTCTTTGTTTATAAAACAAGTTAAGGCTCTTGAATGTAATAATGCTAAGACTTTGAAATTTTTCGGTCCTAAATAAAAATTTATTATAAAACAAGGTGAAGCATTTAAAAAAAAAAAAAAAAAAGAGAAAAAAACCTTTATCAAGTATTATATAAGATTATAGCTATATGATTCTTATTGTAGTAAGAGAAATTAATTTTCCAACACATCATCTTCTTTGGTAACCATGCTCCTTATTTTGTAGTTGAGTTATTTTTTCAAATAATATTAAATAGTATTTTTAGATTCTCTATAATATAGGCACAATCCTTGCAAGACTCTTTAAATTAAGTTCTAAACTTAATACATTTTCTTCTCTCAATTGCATGTTTTTTTGGCAAAGACTTTAAACTTTTTTCTAAAAATTTAAAAGCTGTAGCCATGATTTGATTTGTATCTCTTCAAACAAATTGTGAGATTTCAACCTTAAGAGTGTTAACAAGCTTCTAAAGATCCATACTAGTTATAAATCTATTTTTACTTCTACTAAGAATAGCATCTATAATTTTTTCTTCCATAGATAATTCAAATAAATCCAAAAGTCAAATTGGAGGAGTGTAATCCATAATTTCTAATATAAAATAAAAATTTCTACAAAGAAGGATAATCTACTCTCATTAAAAAAAATCAGTGTTAAAAAACTAAATATTAGTTTAAAAGTAGATAGTCGACAATCTTTAAAACACAACAATGGAAATAAAATCATCCACCCACTTCAAAATAAATATAAGAACAATGAGTTAGGACTCTTGCCAAATTTTCAAAGATACAAATTTTAAAGAACTAAAAAATCAATATACTCTAATAATACTCCATAAGACTAAAAAAATATTAAATGGTGGTATAATATTAGACCAAAATGGCTAATACCAAAGACAAGAAGACTATAAAGGCATTGACAAGAGTGAAGAAGACTTTATTCTTTCCTTGATATATATTATCTAACTAGAAGCTACATGGCTATATTCTATAAGATCTCTGATACATATTTAATTTCCAAGATACATGTCTTAACTTCTAAGATAAGTTTTTTTATATGTAAGCTACATTATTAGCTTGCACCACAAGCTACCAATACATGTAACATGTGGCTAACTTTTTGGCTAAGTTTCTAACCTACCAAAAGCCTACAAATACATATAAAAATGAAATCATGTCTATAAAGCTTTTAAGAAGCTTCTCTATAAGACAATATCAAATTAACCTATTTTTATTTATTCATAATATCTAGGTAACTATTGGAAAAAATATGTATGTTTGAAATAGCTTCTTTAAAATAAGAAAATGATGAGCTTAGAATTTGATCCAAGATTCATCAGCTATATCTAATAAGACTAAAGGTGTTTGATTGATTATTTCCTTAAAACCTTCCATGCAAACCATTGTAAATTAAGTTATCAATTCATTAGTATTTGATCTTTTATTTTTGAAAGACATTAAATTATCAATTCATTATCTTATCTCTTAAAAATAAAAGGTCTAATACATCATAATAAACTTATAAAAGTAATGTTATATGTACATGTGTGATTTATCATCTTTTCACATTTAAATATTATATAAATATTATCTCATTATATTACATATTTTGTGGTATAAGAACAACTTTAGACTTTCAATTGTATCAAGCATCTCTTATATAATGGTCAGATTATTCTTCTATCTTTATTCGATGTTAACATGTTAAGATTATTATTATATGCATTAGCTCAAAAAAAGGTCAAGACACAACAAATATAAAGGTTGTAAATATATGAAGCATAATTACAAAAATTGGTTGTTACAAAATATGATTTGATCAAAGCTAAATGGATTTTGTACTAATATTTGATCATCATCTATACACAAGTGCTTGAAGTAACACCATTAGCTTTATGAAGTAGCATACAAATTATCATTTAAAAATTATGTTTATATAGATTTAAATTTTAATAATATTTTTATTACTAAGTAGATTTTATATGCTAATAATTAAAGTAGAGCACACTTTCATGCTTGGAAGAACATAACATTCATGAAAATTTAGCCTCTCTTACTTCAAGTTAAAATAATTCTCCTTGGTGATTGAATGTCATAAAGTCCAAGTTTATAGAGAACATTGTTATCTTGCAAGGACAATTACTTATAAAAATTAGCCAAGGAGTCATTGGGTACATGATTGAATAAAAGTATTATATTTAATGAACTAAACATGAACTTTATAAAAGCATCAATACTCTGAAATACCAATTCAAATATATTATTGATTTTTCTCTAATAAAAAATTTAATTTATAATATTTATAAATAAAAATCAAACTTTAAAGCATCACGTTTTTTAATTAGAAAAAATAAAGGCGTCTAGAATTTCTACCTATTAGCTCTTGTATTTGATAATATTAAAAGAAAAGAGCTTGATACTTTAATAGCAACCCAAATAAACAAAAAAAGACTTAAAGCAACCTCAACGACTACCTAAAAAGTAGAGCAATAAAAGACACTAATCAGATCATACCCCATTATTGAAAAGAATGGAAACAAATAATATCTACACATACAACCAAATACTTTTAAGAAAGATAAAAAAAAAAATTTAAAAATTCTCCACTAGTATCAATAAATATATGAAAACTTCTTCTCTAATCTTCAAAAAAAATCCTATTTTTAGAAAATAAAATAAAAAATAGATCTATTGAAAAAGATTCTATATTTGTAAAAAAAAAAAAAAGAAGAAGACAAAAAAAGACAAAAAAAGACAAAAAAAAAAGACAAAAAACAATCTCACAAGCTACAAACTAGAAATGTAAGTTGTGTCAATGTAGTAAACATGAGAAATTTCTTTATCTTTGTAAAGACTCAAAGATTAGAGGGTAAATTGTTAAGGCCATATGAACTCTACTATTTGGTCTTATGATAGTTGAATGATTTGGTTTATTTCATAACCTCTTCTCATTTAATATTATATCCAAAGACTAAGGTTTTGAAAGGAATTTTTTTCTTCATCAAGCAAGAAATCTTATGAGGCTTTTAAAGCATGGCCTTTTAAAGCCAACTTCAAGGCATAAATCCTCTTAAGATAACACCCTATGATTCTCTTAAAAATTAATCAATTTTATTTTGTACATTATTATAATTCTAATTTTTAAAAAATCAACCTAATTTATTTTAATAGTTTTAAAATTTCAATGTAGATTAACAACTATAAACTTTTAAATTTATATTAGAATTTTGAAAATTATTCATAAAAAGTGTTTAACTTCTCACTTATAATATCATTTTGAATTATATATATATTTTTTATTAAGTTTTTTTTTAGTATTAAAAAAAATAAAAAATAAATTTTATCTAAGAATTATATGTATGTATATATATATATATATATATAATCTTTAAAAGAACAAAAAAAATATGAACGTAATATTATTGATAGTATAAGACTTTTTTAGAAGTAAAAATTGAAATTGGTTTAAAATATGAAAGCGAATGGTTTGCTATCAATGTGTTTGAACTTGTGACCATTTATCTTTATTGAAAAGGAAAACCAACACAAAGAAGAGCTTAGTGATGTCCAAACAGCTACAAATCTTGCATCATCTACAATACCTTAGAGACCACTACTGCAATTCTCCTCTTCATTAACCCATCCTCTAGAGCATGTTCAAACACAACATCTACAAAATTGGATAAGACATAGCAAAGTTGCTTCCACTCAATCCACATTCACCACCAAAACAAAACAGGAGAATATTTATCGTGCATGCAGAGATTAAGTACAAACCAAGACATCCAAACTCTCATCTGAATTCAATTAACAAACAACACGAATCTGGCACATGACTGATTTCGGCGATCAGGGCCCACGCGGGAACTTAATTTAGATCGGGCAAGCTCAACAAAACCTCGGACGATGGTCCGATGATGGCAGCTTTTCCGAGAATCCCATTCCTCTACGCATATTCAGAATCATATATATATATATATATATATATATATGAATATGAAAAGACTTTATCTACATATAAACATACGTATGCATATATTTCTCAACACTCTCATCTCAGCAATCAGTATCGGCTTCAGTTGCTGGAAGGCTTGTGTTAGCGATGTGGTCGGGCAACTAGGCTAGCCCCTCATTAAGATCTGGTCCTTGGATTGACGCAGTTTAGTAGCCGCCAGGGATCCCAATGCCTGCACGCAACAGAAGTTGCACCACATTAAACCGCACGATCAGTCACCAGAATGATGAGGGTGATGAGGAAAAACACAGGTTGCGGACCAAGGTGTGGAGTTAGAGAGGTACCGTTGCAGGTGATGTCAGCCTTTCTCAACACTCTCATCTCAGCAATCAGTATCGGCTTCAGTTGCTGGAAGGCTTGTGTTAGCGATGTGGCCTCGCACAGACATGCCTCCGGAGTGTTGGTGTCTAAGTACGCTTGCAGCTCCGTGCAACAAGTGTCCGTGGGCTGGACATCGCTTCTCGCCGCCGGTTCGCAGGCAGCTAAGCCCGAGGTGGGACACTGGGCCTGCGTTTGCGTCACCACGACGCTGAGGCCCACGAGCATCATCAACGCGGCCAGGAGTCGCAGCTGCATTGAGCTCCTCGTCATTGTTGCGACAGTCGAGTGGCACAACTCTTACGTCGGGGCTGCGAGGGATCGAGATCGCCACAAAAGAAACCGCTGTAGAGAGATTCGAATCTTAACAGTATCTTGAAATTCGCAAGCGTGAGAAAACTGATCCTCGCTCTCAATCCAGCGGGTTTGTATAGCCCCGGTCCGAACTCTAGTTCCAGGACTTCCCGCACATCATTAGGACCAACATGTAATCCACATGCCGCCCGGCGTTCACGACCATGTCTTTTTTATGCAACAGTACTTCACGGCAACGAAGTTAGGGTTGACAGTCACTGACGATGGTCAAAACTATTGTGTGACACTCTTCAGGAACCCACAACTCTCAGGTGGTGGATCCCGTGAGCTTAACGCCAGTACCTCCAGTTCGAATCAAGCAGGAAGGGAACGCATCAAGCAGGTGAGTGGTGGGCATGGATGCCGAGTGTAGTCACGCAGCTTAGCAGCCGTGGAATATGCGGCAACTCGAAGCATCCATCCATGTTGCAGCTCCTCCTCCTCTGGTGGCCCTTGCACCTTAGATTTCTTTGCACGGCCTTCACGTTTTCGAACTTCTCCAGGGACTTCAGTCCTTTTGCCAGTCTTTTGTTCTGGTGTGGATTCATACCCTGCGATGTGGATAAATCTTTGTCATTCGCAACGGAGGATCAGTTTTGTGTGGGAGGTGAACCGTGACATGACCAAGTCTTCTTGATACTTCCATTTTTCTTCTTGTTTTTATCAGCAGGAATATGAACGTTATTTGACTTTTCATGAGATACTATTTGGATTTTGCATGTAGGTCAAAAACTGTAATGTTTTCAAAGTAGAAAATTAACTTAAATTTCTTTGCTTGATGGTACAAGTTTTTACTAATACAGTGGAAATTTTATTTTAGAATACAAATAAAACAAATCGCATTGTGAAGTTGAAAAAGAAATTCTCAACTACTTGAAAATAAAGGAGTAATTGTAAAATGAAAAAATTGTAAAATCATTTTACAAGATTAAATAAAATAATATCTGTTGTAATGTTAGTTTGCACTTTTTGTTATTATTGGGTACAGCTTAAACAACTCACATACATGCAGTGACAATCAAAATCAATTCTAACACTTGTTAGTTCAATATGATATCTTGTTTGAGGTTAGTTTCCGAAGCATTACGAATTCAACGAACACAGCTCTGACCAAAATACTTGAAAGTGTACAAAAAGTCAGCAATCCCTCAATCAACACTTCTGATTGTACGTCAACCTAGTCACTGAATAGAAATCCAGGGATTAAGCGGATAGCAGGTGAAACTAGAATCAAGGGCCTTAATTCTTCCACTGGCCAGATAGTCTCTAATGGCACAAGGGAAGCTCTGCAAGTTAAATAACTGAATTACATTCTGTTTATCAATCTGGGTCACACTATGCAAACCCACGTGGAAAACCATGATGCATGCGCAAGTCAGATTAAGGTTTCTCAAGTCGAAGAGCAACCTGAATGCTGCATCAGAAACGAAGGTCGAAGCTATCGAAGAGACACCTCGACTTCACATAATCACCGGCACACTGCATAGATTTAACTATTTCTGCATGAAATGATAAACTCATGTGCAGAAATGCAACTTGGTACAAGTATCTGTTTGGGCTAGATACTTTTCATGTCGGTATCTGCGGTGTTGAAACAGGGAACTTTGATGCCACAAGTAGCGATCTGCACTGGGTTCGCCCTTGCCCTTCTCTTAAGCTTGAGGATTGACCCAAATGATCAACGCGAGGCAAACTCTCCTCATGGGTGCTGACCAATTTGCGTCGCTGGATTTTATTGTGAAGAGCATGGACCGCAGCTTTGTCATTCGAGCATGGATCTTGTATGACTGGTATTGACAGACTGTTGGTGCATTGCAGTAACCTGCGATGCTCGGTATGATTAATTCTACAATAACCGTTCTTAGCAAATCTCTCTTGCAGGACCTACTGATGACAATTCGTGAACTTTAGGCTCGCGCTTGTAGGGGTTATATTTCTAGGATGGTACGATTTTCCATGCAGTGAAGTAGCATTAAAGTTGTGTCTGAGACGGACTTTTCAAACTGTGGAATAAACTTCATGTTGAATCTGGAAATTACGAGTTCTTTGCACTAGTCACTACAAATTACGAGAGTTCTTTGCCAATCCTATAAATTCGATACACTTATTTTTTATCTTCAAGTTTCAGTGTAAGTTAAAGGATACATGATTAAATGACAACATCTCTAAAATTCTTTTGAGTGATTATGCTGCATCTAACTGCAGAGATACGTAGAATTCGGCATCTCCGACTTTTACTTGTATGACATCTGCATAATAAGCTTTCATCACGCACCCCTTGGTTACATATGGGTGAAACCTATATTTACCCCGATTAGTACTCGGTGGCCTGAGATGACATCTGAAACTTTGGGCTAGTTTCAGTGTCAAAAACCTGTGCTGCGTTAATCTTATTTCCATACAATGTGCTGAAAGCAGCTAATGGAACGCATGAATTCTAACTGTTGGTTGCATTCAGCCTTCAACGTCTAAGGTCCCATCAATTACCAACTAGACATTAGTATTCAAATGACGACGACAAAGGTACTCTTTTTCACTTCGTCTCAACAACACCACTTGCATTTCAAATGTTCAAGAGATCTCAATGAAGACTTGGAAAGGAATATCGGTTTTTAGTTGTGTTCATACATTAAGCTGAGTTGAATGAGCTCTACGAAAACTGCTTTCCTCATTTCGTTAGGGAATGTACAACTTCAGAAGTATCTGTAATGAAGGCTATTTGTCGGCTGGCGGTTGAAACGCTGTCTGATGGCGCTTGAAAAATTCACGAAATCCATATGCGCTCATGTCGTAATTGTACTGTTAACATCAAACCGCAAGAACCTACGTGTCACTGACCAAAAACGCTAACGATTTGCACAGATCAACATACTTGCTCATGGACTATACTTGGAAAGGCTACTCGCAACACTCATTACCTCTGTAATCTTTAAAATCCACAAGCGAACAGAGCTTGCATTTAAGTTGAAGAGAATGGAAACTAAACACCATAGCATCGGAGAATTGATATGTTGAGAAGGACTAACCGGAGTAACATTGTCACTGTAACGCATTACAGGCTGATCAAATAATTCATAGTTTAATAATGATAAATATGCTTATTGAGCTCTTGACAAGGCAATAATCTATTATGCCAATTAGAGAAGAAATACTTACTCAAAGTGTGTTGGCATCAGAAGGTGAATGACTAAGAGATGAACTTTTAGCTATTATAATTAAACAACTTGAGAAAAAATTGAAAGATATATAAATATCATTAGAAACTTTAAGAAGAACAAGATTACAAACTAAGACATAATTTGATAAACAACATCAATTGAAATCTAAAGCAATTGAAGAAGGTGATTGAATTTTGGACTATGATAGTAGTTTGAACCATTAATATAATACTTTAAAGTTTTTTATACAATGGTTTGGACCATAGGTAATAACAATTTTTTTATGATAATGTGACTTATTGATTACAAGATCTAAATGGAAAAAAATTAAAAATATTAGTTGTAAGAAAATATGTGAAGATATTGAAACAAAGATAGATAGAAAGAAATATAGAAGACCTCGTTGAAGACTTAAATCTTTGAAGATAAGAAGATGAGTTTGACTTGGATAGCAAAAATGATAAAAAAAAAAGAAAAAGAAAAAAAAAATGATGAAGATATGGAGAACATAATATGAATCAAATAAGATTTGAATTATTTGATATATATCAAAGGATGCACAATTTTAAAGGATGTGGATATTGAGTGATAACATGAATATATGGTGAAAAATAAAAATATAGATGTTATTATAGAAGAGCCTAGTAGAAATATATAATAAAATAATAAGAATAAATTATAGAAAGGTAATAAAAAAATTTAGTCTTAATTTTTTTTATAGAAGGAACTTCTATTTATTTTATAGAAGCATAAATAAACCAAATCAAAGTAAATATGATAAGAAATTGATATACGCATATTTAAAAGAAAATTAACAATAGATTAAAGTAAAACTTACCTCAAATTACCAAAAATTGATATTCAAAGAGGATTGGTTGTGAACTTGGATTGAAATCACACCTTGAGATACAAAACTATGCACCTATAGTGACTTTGGGATTTTTAAACAAATCAAAGAAAGTATGGTTTTAAAAAAAACTTCATAGGATTTTTTTGAACATTGGTTTTGGGTAATTTGAATATCTAATAACTTTATAAGAGCATTGCAAAGTCAAGGTTATTTTTGATGAATATTATTTTGAAAAAAAAAAATATATATATATATATATATATATATTCAAAAAAAATTTGTAGATTTGGTAGTAGATCTATAAATAAAAATTTGTAGATTTATAATTATAGTTATTTTTATTATGATTAGTAAATTTGAACATGATCAAATGATTAGATTGAAGGTTATTGAAGTTTAAGTAGGTTGGAGTTTCAAAAATAGAGTTTGAAGGTCAATGGTGGTTTCTAAGATATTTAATAGTTTGTCAATTGGATTGAGATGAAATTTGTGTATCTAGATAGCAGAATTGATTTTCAACATATATATAAAATTTTAAAGGTATTTAATAGTAGAATTAAGAGATTTTGACTTAAAAAGATTTATATTAAGATTGGAAAATGAGGCTAATGAATACCTGAGCAGATTTTAGGATTTAACTTTTATTTGATAAGTTTGATTTTCTTAACAATATTTGCACTTATTTTTGGCTTAAT